GAGCAGGGGAGCCCCTCCCAGGCCCAGAGGCAGGTCAGCCGCCAGTCCCCACCCTGGGAGGCCGGCTGCACCCTAGAGGGAGGCGCGGGGGGCCACCAGGACCCAGTCCAGGCTGCTCAGTGAAAAGGGAGAGAACCCGCACCCTTTGCATGAAACGTTGCTCCTCTTCTGGGCCGAGGAGCAGCTGGGAGCCTGTCTCTCTACCTGACAGTCTCTCTGTTCATTCAGGCTCCGCGCCCACACACGCCCAGGTCAAGTCCCAGGTCTAGGGAGGGGCTCTCACTATTGTCCATATGGTCACGTGTCTTTACACAGCATTTTAAAGCCGCACTTATTGGAGTGGCTTGGTTAATAGAGTCATACAGGTTTCAGAAGCACAGGCCTGTAATTCGCATCTGTACAGTGTCCCGTGCGCTTGCCACCCAAGCCGTGTCTCTGTCCATCACCATTTATGGCCCCTGCACCCCTTCTGCCTCCCCTACCCCCTTTCCCTCTGCTGAGGACCCTACGTTGTCTGTGTCTATGAGGGGTGTGTGTGTGTGTGTGTGTGTGTGTGTGTGTGTGTGAATGTGTGAGTGTGTGTGTATGAATGTGTGTGTATGAGTGTGTGTGTATGTGTGAGTGAGTGTGTGTGAGTGTGTGTGTGAGTGTGTGTGTGAGTGAGTGTGTGTGAGTGTGTGTTGAGTGAGTGTGTGTGTGTGAGTGTGTGTGAGTGTGTGTGTGAGTGTGTGTGTATGAGTGTTTGGTTTTTGATAAATAAGATTTCAACCACCACCAGCTTCCTTTCTGCCTCCGGCTGTCACATGGCCTCCGGAGCGGGTGCGGGCGGAGTGGCTCAGCATTTCTGAGACGCGCTAAGGAGGCTGCGGGAGATGCACTGAATTCGGGTCAGCAAGGCAAACTGAGGTCACTGGGGTGCACAGTTCAGTGATCGCCAGCTGTTCCGGGGCAGCAGTGGCTTCTAGGCACCCTCCCGCCACCCCCGGCTGAGTCACCCCACTTCCTGCCTTCCTGTCATGCCCCCAGGGGGGCAGGTGGCAGGCAAACGCCCGTTGTGCCTGCAGATGAGTGGCCGTGATGAGTGATGGGTAGCAGGTCTCTCCTCTTCCCCCGAGTTGCTCCGAGAGAGAGGAGAGTCGGGCACAGCTCACGAAAGGTGAAATTCTTGTTCTAGTTGTTATTGAGAAGAAGCGGATATATTGGCAGGAATGAGTGTGTGTGTGAGTGAGTGTGTGTGTGTGAGTGTGTGTGAGTGAGTGTGTGTGAGTGTGTGAGTGTTTGGTTTTTGGTAAATAAGATTTCAACCACCATCGGCTTCCTTTCCGCCTCCCGCTGTCACATGGCCTCCGGAGCGGTGCGGGCGGAGTGGCTCAGCATTTCTGAGATGCGCTAAGGAGGCTGCGGGAGATGCACTGATTTCGGGTCAGCAAGGCACACTGAGGTCACTGGGGTGCACAGTTCAGTGATCGCCGGCTGTTCCGGGGCAGCAGTGGCTTCTAGGCACCCTCCCGCCACCCCCGGCTGAGTCACCTCACTTCCTGCCTTCCTGTCATGCCCCCAGGGGGGCAGGTGGCAGGCAAACGCCCGTTGTGCCTGCAGATGAGTGGCCGTGATGAGTGATGGGTAGCAGGTCTCTCCTCTTCCCCCGAGTTGCTCCGAGAGAGAGGAGAGTCGGGCACAGCTCACGAAAGGTGAAATTCTTGTTCTAGTTGTTATTGCGAAGAAGCGGATATATTGGCAGGAAGTGAAGTGGGATGACTCTTAGTTTCTAGTTTCACACTTGAAACCAGACTTACCGCCCTGGAGAGGCATTTGTATTTAGCAACGTCCTTGCGATGGGCATCCAAGTGGCAGCATTTCTGCTGCCTGTCATTTCTGACCTTGCATAGGACGATTCTGCAATTCTGCATCCATAAGCAGACGAGGGGCAGCGTTATCTTGTTCTCTGTGGGCTGGTAGTCATGTCTACTTGGTCAGAACCTTAAAAACGGCCGTGAGCGCTGGGAAGGGCCTGGGGGCTGGGGGACGAACAGCTGAGCTGTCACCCTCACAGCTGCTGGCGGCTCACTGGGGATTGTCATCAGCAGGGACAGTCCTGGGTCCGCAGCCGCTCGCCCCTCACGGACACGTCTCCCTCAGGACGACAGGGGGCCGTATCTTCTGCAGCACGTGTCCCACTGAATTCGCTAAGGATAGGAGTGGGATATTTTTATGCCCCGTTATTTTCCTAACACATGCCTTCAGTCTGCCAATGTCTGTTACTTGTTCGCTGTTTTCTACAGGAAGTGAGGTGCCACCGTTACGTTTTGTATTAAGTGTGCAGATAGTGATCACATATGGGTATGCGATTGGAAAATGTCCGGGTTGTAAAGACAAGTGCAGGTGCTGAATTCGGGGGAGGACACGGGACAGAGGAGAGCACATTAGCAGCACCAGAGCCCCGGGCTCCTCGAGTTCATGCCGTGGCCCCTGGAGGCGGGAGTGGGCACAGAGTTCATGGCCGTGGCCCCTGGAGGCGGGAGTGGGCAGAGAAAACAGACAAAAGGGAAGATAGGACTTGGCTCAGAATAGGAGAGAGATAAAGTGATACTCAGGGGGCGGGGGCATGTTTCAGCAGAACTGCCCATTTCCTGGGAAACTTAGCCACACTATATTTTTGAAGTTTTATGTCTCCCTTTCAACGAAAATGTTTTCTCTTGGGAAAATTATTAGCGCACAGTAAATATGTAATTACAGAAAGTGACTAACATAACAGAAAGCCCTGTGGATGCCAATTTTTTTTTTTAATCTCTAGGATGACATAGATTGAATATCAACTAGTTTAAATGTGGGATTCAGTCTAGTCTAAAGATAAAAAGGATTACAGTTCTATTTTGGAGGAGGTGTGAGGATTATCACAAAAATATAAAAATAAAAAAAGACAGAAAGGATCAACCAAGAAGATGAAAATCGCTGTTATGGTGCAATATATATTTGGAACGTAACTAATATGAGCCATGGACACTGATACAGAAGAGACACATGAAAACTAGAACTTGTTAAAAATAAGTCTTTCCATTGTTTGAGTTGAGACTATTTAAAAGCTTGAGTTTTTGAACCAAAATAAAACTTTGAAAAAAATATTACCTAAGCAAATGAACTGAGAAAAACACTCCCCTGTCCCTCAACGAAATGTGCTCCACAATAACTCTACCATCATTTTACTTCTCTCAACCGGAAATACAAATGTCCTATTCCCAGACACTGAAAATACTCTAATAGTTACACCACCAAGACCCTTCTCCCCGCTTCTCCCACCAAACATCCACATTGGAACCATGTGCATCTTGGAAACGATGAGAGATCGCTCTCTTTTGCTTAAGTTATAGTTCACTTCCTTCTCTTAGCATGTGATCAAACTTCAAGTTCGAGCCCTTTATTCCCACTTTGCTGTGAGTTTTTATCAAAAAAGGGTGTTGGATTTTGGTGATCCCACTTCTAGGAATAGATCCCAAGAATTCAGAAACACCCATCAGAAAGGACATATGCACCCCTAGGTTCATAGCAGCGCAATTTACAATAGCTAAGATCTGGAAGCAGCCCAAGTGCCCATCAGCAGATGAGTGGATTAGAAAACTGTGGTACATCTACACCATGGGGTACTATGCTGCCGTAAAAAAGAAAGAACCCTTACCATTTGCAACAGCATGGAGGGACCTGGAGAGCATTATGCTAAGCGAAATAAGCCAGTTGGAGAAAGATAAATATAACATGATCTCACTCATTTATGGAATATCATGAACAACATAAACTAATGAATAAAAATAGAGCCAGAGACATGGAGACATTGATCAGACCGTCAAACCTCAGAGGGAAGGCAGGGGAGGTTGGAGGAGTGGGGAGAGATCAACCAACAAAGAACTCTGCGTATGTGCATGGCCCATGGACACAGATGGAGGGTGGCGAGGGCTTGGGGGGAAAGGGAACTTATGTAATACTTTCAACAATAAAGATTTATTAAAAGTAAAACTTCAAGTTCAATTTTGAAGCTAAAGAGAACACATGTTCCAACGTATAAATCTGGGTACTTGTTGTGTGTGGCTATTTAAACGCGAGGGGAATTCCCATGGCCGTGCTGCTCTCTCCCAGGTGAACCTCTTCTTCCTGCTGAACATCGTGCGTGTGCTCATCACGAAGCTGAAGGTCACGCACCAGGCGGAGTCCCACCTCTACATGAAGGCCGTGCGGGCCACGCTCATCCTCGTGCCGCTGCTGGGCATCCAGTTTGTGCTGCTCCCGTGGCGCCCTGAGGGCAGGCCCGTGGAGGAGGTGTACGACTACGTCATGAACATCCTCATGCACTACCAGGTGGGCAGCCTGCCG